GTAAATCCGGACCTGAGCGCTGCCCAGCTAATTATAAGCATTTAACCTGTCATTGTTCTGTACTGATGAAATAGAACAGGGTACAGAACGGTGATGTGTTTGATTCCATTGCTATGATACCAGGAGCCATAAATTATAATATCTATACTGGACTGCACCCATATAATCACTGGAGGAACAGAATATAGCCTGCCAGAAACAGACAGTCCTGCATAAGGCATTGCTGATCCCACATCAATATGATTCCAGACAACCCACTGTGCAAAGCATAATTCACATCCATTCCTGGTGCCTATCACGTTTTCAGTTCATGTCTGAGCTGCTCTCTACACTGCACATAGAAGAATGTAGGTCAGTGGAGACATACTTGATGCAAACAAAGCAATCTTTATTCTGACCTGATGTTCTCACAACACAGGGAAATAAAAAAGCATACCTTACACCCAAGAATAACTGATGCAAATCAGCTATAGGCCTATTTATTTGATGTCACGGCACTGCCCCTCACCCAATCAGAGAAGGCCTCATTGAGAACAATATTAGGCATTTTCCAAATGGCCCCATTGTTGAGTGACCCATGGTGTTTTACCAGCACAGGGAAGCCGCTCAGCACAGCAGCTGTTATTATACCCAGAATATGCTATAATATCATGAAGTAGCTGCATGAAGTAGCTGCAGCTACTACAGTGTATTACACGATCCCAGATCCATAGTTTGAAGATGATCCTACTCATGAGCTTCATAATAGAGGTACAGATTGCTATTTTTCAGAAAGCCATTAAGAGGCTCAAACATCAAATAACAGAGTGGACAAAGGCATGTGAGAAAAAAGAAAATGCTGTATTGATGTGCACAGAATGTTATGTGATCACACAGCTGCTAAATAAAGGGAGAAACAATTATGACCTGCTGGGCTTGAAGACAGCTCCACCCTCTACATCCCCATGTATCCATTGCCTAAAGTGTCATTTTAATTTATCTGAAATTTCCAATAGAATATGATGTCCTTTTACTTTGTAATTGAAATGTCAAAACAAATTAGATCAATCAGAATCATTCTACTGAACATGCTAGAAATGTCTGCAGGTCCAGGAAAATTGTGACATGAGGCATATGACAACATATAAACAGTCTTATCCATACTTTTTAATATGTTTTTTGCCTACAAGAAAGGAGCAGCTGTGAGGGGGCGCAGCCACGGCCAGCCTGGCTGTGTCCCCTTGCCCCTGTTGCCATAGCAAGCAAAGGGCGCCAGGCGACAGGGAGTAGACGAGTGGCACAGCCTGCAGCTTCTCCTTGGATACCCATTGCTCTCCCACACCTGTATGGGCAGAGGCAACGGGGATCGGAGGAAAAATGGAGCTCTGAACCTGGCGGTGGGAGGCGGAGGAGGGAGCTGTCACTTCAGGATGGCCAAGTGGTAAGGAGAGAGAGAGCCACTCAACCAGGATCTGACAGCCGACGGCTCTTTCTCTTCTCACCACTAGGGCATCCTGAAGTACCAGGTGGGTTATATATGGTGTCATCAGTGACACTGGAACCAGGACCTGCAGCTCCAGGGCTCATCTGTAGGTGGCTCTGCTATTATTCACCACCTGCTTTTACCTGGGATGGTATTTAATCCCTCCCTGAACTAGGGATTTTGCCACAGTATTGTCGCCAATTCCCGCATCCTGTTTTCTCTGACCTGTGACCTGATTTCTACATCCTGGTACCCCCTTGTACCCTGACCATTGCTCCGTGGCTCCCCTTGTGTTGCCTTGTTCCCCAGGTTTCACTTGTTATGTTGTCTGTGATTATATTTGCATTTAGTTAGCTATTTTTACTTGTTTGCAGTCACTTGTGGGTTTTGGTGGGGTTGTTTGTGTTTATATGATTTCGGTATGTCTAAAAAATTGTACGTTCATAAGCTCAGGCTTTATCTGGTGTGGTCACGCATTTGGTCCTCCCATGTGGGTACCTGCATGCGGTGCGGGGACACCGCATGCAGGTATCCTGATACTGTCCTTAAAAAGTAATTCATGATAAATCATACAAAGTTAATAAAAGGGTTCTGCAAGGTAAAATGTGCCCTGGCAACAGCATAAGTGAAATAACTGTAATATATGAGAAATTACTTTGTATCTGAGTTGAAGTGTTTTATGACAAACCATGATTAATTAAACATGCAAACCAAATGAGCATCACATTGATTTCTCAACCACCTAGGAGGTCAACAGCATAGAGAATCGATTGGCTCAATACTTACTGCCTACCTATCTTACCCAGAATTACACTGACCCAGCAGAAGAAGAGTAAAAGAAAAAAAGAGCCACGGTGGATCAGGCTGTTCTCATGAGACACTGGGGTTGATTTACTAACCTTATAAACACACCACGAACGTGTATACACCTCTGCAGTGTGTTCCCTCCCAGCATGATCTATGGGTGGAATCTAAACACCTTTGTAATGTGTACACACCCAGCAGGTGTGTTGTGCAAAGCCCTGAAGGAATTCCAAGGTGATGTTGGGTAAATTAGCTCTATGTTGTGTTGCTTGCGTTGATGAATGCAAGGAATGTAAATGCATGAGCTAACCATTTTTGTCTAAACTGTGAAGCAGCATTATATATGCATCATGTGCATGATTTTTATATATATGGCATTAGTGGAAATATGCTTTTAGAGACTTTTTGGTTGATAAATACGTTTTGCTGTGTGAAAATCACACACACCTGGTGTGTGTGTGTGTTTAGGTTAGTAAATCACCCCCACTATGTTTCTAAGTAATTAGCTCGTACCTTTCCTTTAGCGATAATGAAAAATGTGTTGCCTTCTTCTCCTTCTCTGATGATATAATCCCCTTTGTCATAGAAGTCCTGTGGAACAAGAGCGTAAAGGTTTTATTCAGAAAGCTGCAATCATGTAAAATGTGTGGGAGATAATCAGTGAAATGTATCATCCTTAATTGGGATTATACTGAAGACCTTTAGCCCTAGACTGTCCAACATCAGTGGTTATTAGGTGCCGAGTGGCTTAAGCAATCACTGTATGTAAAAATGATCTTAAATGCAATTTTGAGATTAGCAAGGAAAAAAATATGAAATGCAGTGTGCTGCCACCGCAGTGAGTCTTTTGTCTTGCTTATTGTATTTGAATTATTCCTCTGTTTTCCCATCATGTTAGTGCTAGTTAGCATAGTCTTTAGCTAGACACTAGAGCTTCACTCTGCTGCTCAGATGTTAGTTTCACTTTCCTAGCAGAGGCAGGACTAAGGCTGGGTTCACACCTAGGCGTATCGAATATGCGCGTATGTTGTGCGTTTCGTGACGCGCATTTTTACCGCGATTCACGTTTCCGAGGGCTACTTGGCTGTATACCAATGGAAACGCGCGACAAAAATGCCCCAAAGAAGCTCCTGTACTTCTTTGGGCGTAGGGCATTTTGTAGCGCGTTCATACGGCCTGTAATACGCCCAGGTGTGAACCATACCCATAGGAAATAATGGGATTTCGTGTGTTTGAGCGTTTTGCAGAGCAATCTAACGCGCTACAAAACGCCCAGGTGTGAACCAGGCCTTTGGAAAGTCGTTGTCTTCTTACCCCTTCAAAAGCTTGGAAAAATATTCTTTGTACTGCACTTATCTAAAACAAAGTAGGTTGGATTCTGTATCTTATCGAAGAGTTAAGCTGCCTGTGCATTGTGCCAATTTAGCAAGTGCATGGGTGAGATGAAGAGCGCCAAGATTACAGAAGCCCATACACATAACAGTTGCATCTGTTATAACAAACAAACTAACACACGGTTTATTCTTCCACTATGTATGGCAATTCTGCAATACATAGGGGAAATGCGGACAAAGTTGTCAAAATATGCAATTAGTGCCATGTCCTCTTACGCTTCCCACAGATAGGCAGATTTTACCAAGAACACCTAGGGATAAGAGATCAGTCTTTTCATCATGTTCTCATACAACAGCTTAATACAGTGCATGCACATTAAGGATTTGCATCATGAGTTACACTTCAAAATCTCTCAATGAACAATGCTTGATAGTGCCCTCCACTACCTAAATATCATTATCATCATTATCAGTGATAATGATGATAATGATATTTAGGTAGTGGAGGGCACTATCAAGCCATGTTCATTGTGATAATTGTGATAATTGATCACAATACTTGAATTTATTGCACTGCTAAAAAATACCTTATATATGAGGCACCCTTAGACCTTACATTGTAAGAGTCCACAGTAACCATTAAGGAAAACTTTTTTTTATGTTTTAAGCTAATTGAGGCTGATTGGTAAAATAGTTACAATTTATTAGCAAAGATGATTATTTTGCTACTATATCAGTATTTTCCAAAGTGCAGAACAGGTACCGGTAGTGGGATTGAATAGAAGTGGACAATTGTGGTCCAAAGATTATAAATGCCCAATTACAGTCTCATACCTGTTTATAGCCATGTACCCACACTTTATGAACTGTGACTTTTTTTAATTGGTAAAGTTTTAAAACACCTTCTCTTAATAGAAAACTGCTCCCTGTCTCCCACTTTAGTACTCCATGCTGGCAGATCTGAGTAACATCCACACCCCTTTTTACAAGTGTCCTCACACATACTTGTAAAACAGAGGTAGAAAGGGGTTGTGAGAACAAATCTGTAACTGAATGTTGATTACTGAGTGCACTGGGTCTAACTCTGGTGCCTAGTGGACTGCAAAGTTACATTTAGACATCCTGTACAGCTATTATAATGGAAACATTAAAGAAGAACTATGAGGTGAGTGAAAATCACTCATCCTCCTAGTTCGAGCCGACGCGTGACAGTGAAACTGTCACATGTCGGCTCAATAGATCGGGAAGTGAGCGAACACATACCGTCGCCCGCTCACTTCTCGATCATCTCCCTGCAGTCACTGTCAGTCATGGCTCCCTGCAAGGATCCCACCCCTCCCTGCTCCGATCCTCCAGCAATGAGTGGATGAATAGACGGGGAGGGGGCGGGTACAGCTGGCTATGCCTCTAGATATGCAGAGCCCGCTGTCACTCACGCAGCTGGGTGCATCTTGACAGTAATGTCGGGATCCGTCTTGGCTGTGGCGGTCTCAGTATACCGCAAGCTGTAGCTCGCGATATACTGAGCTTTGGGTCATGGGAGGACACTACGGTAGTATATGTCCTCCCGTGACCCTAAAGAGAACTATGGGGAAAAACACTTACCCCATGGTTCTCTTTTAAGGTTGTTAGTGCATTGTCTGACTGCGCATCTATTTCAGAGACTTAAATTAGACTCTAAATACCTTCATGCTCTATAGCAATTCCCCCATTTCAAGAAAAACAATATTCTCTGTTCTGAAACTTGTTTGATCTTGCAACAGTCATCTGGCACTAAAGTGAGCAGGGTGATCTAATCTGCAAATTGGAAATTCTGCTTCTTTGGGCACCTTTGCTGATTTGTGAGAGAGCAGTGGTTTCATTATATGCTAAATCCAAGGATGGGTGACACCAGACTTAACTAGAAATTACAAGGCCTCATAGCAAAATTCTGATGGAGTCTCTACCAGTTGAAGGTGGCCTATAATGCACCTTAATTAACACTCCTTTTACACACAGGTGAATGGCCCATACATCTATCATTTAAACACAGGTGGTCGGAGGTGGTCTATATAGGCATCCTATGTACACCCCTTAATGGTAGGCATTGTAACTAAACACTTACAAGATGTAGCCAGGTAATCTAAATGGTTAACTGCACAGGACAAAGGTGCCCACAGGCTTTCCCAGCAACTTAAGTTTCCTCAGCTGGAAAAAAAGCCTCTCCTTTAAGTTTAGCCACAACTGTTTGGATCAATGTACAGAAAAGTAGTCTGTGTTCCTTACCCCTGTTCTAGCAATCGGAGTAATCATTTAATGCCAGAAAACGAATATAATAAATCAATAAATATAGCAAATTACATTTCTTTTACAGAATTATAGGTGGCACAAGTCTTGGTAAAATGTGGTACAAATGCAAGTTCTGGAAAACAATGCTCCAACTAAAACTTTTCATTTAGTTTTAGAGAGAGTGGGGAAGAGCTCAGAATCACGCAGACAGGAAGTGAGGGGAATACTCCCCAATGGGGTCAGAGACAAAAAATAAAAACTGCCACATTTTAAATCTTGCCAACTCTATCCAGAACAAAAAAGGCTACCACTAGGCTTCAAATCTAATAGGAACATGGTGTTGAGATTTAAATTCACATTTTGAGACTTTAAAATCACATTTGACCCTGGTGTATCTATTGCATCTAGAACTAATTTGGGCATGCTTGTTAAAAATATGCTAAACAACACTCTTTATTAAAAAGAGTGAAATAGTCTAGCCCTAAGGGCTATAGACTATGAAATATTCAGATAAGCAACCCATTCACTTGATTATTCGCAAGTGTCTCATAGAAAATGAGTCATTTGCTCAGTGAGGGACAAACAATTAGTCAAGCAACACTGCTCTCACCAACTACTAAATTGTGATTGCTCTCTTTATTCTTAATGAGGACTTTAACGACATAGTGCCATGTCAGCAAAACTTTACTTCTTCTCGATACACCCACTAGAATTTTAATCACCCTACTTCTTAGTTTCTTGAGGAGCTAAAGGCTTGAAAGCTACAGATGTCTGTGGGTGCCTTCATCAACTTCATAAAGAACCCAGATACTGTATATATGTAATATTTACATTTATAGCTGCTGCTGTTATATTTGAGCACACAGGAAATGTAGCTACTATGTTTTCTCTTATTAGGGGTTCTAAACGTTCTTACAATTAACGATTCCCAGTATGTTGCCCAATAAGTCCCCAGGCTGTCAAAGTCATCATCATTACCAGTTCTATTAGGTTGAGACTTCAAAAGATGTTAATTTGTTTTTACTTTATATATGGATTGTTAGAAACAGAACAGCTGAATAAAATCATTATTCAGGATTCAAGGATATTATTATATCTTTATCAAACAACAAATCACACATACACAAGCTAACTACAACTAGCAAGATTTTTTTGCTGTTGCTTTTTGTGCTTTTTAAACATGAAATCAAGCTACATTTACTGAAAATGTTACTCCCATGCCATTTAACGCATGGGGGTGATTTACTAAAGGCAAATAAGGCTGTTCACTTTGCAAGGGAATTTGCATTTTGCAGGGGAAGTTTCCTTTAGCTTGGTGAAAGAATACCCAATCATTTGCAAGGAAAATAATAATAATAATAATTTAAAAAAAAGTATTTTTAATGTTGAGAATCCAGATTAAATTTTTTATAACGTATTCAGAGGCCTTGTCTCTTACCTCAATCATGTGCTTGCTACCTCCAAGGTGTATGGGTAAACCTGGTTTGGAAGCTCTGTTCTAGAGCATCTCACCACATAAGTAAATGTTACAGTGGCTTTATATTTGTTCGTTGGTCTCAGTATTTGATCTCTATATCTCTTTTAAATTGATTTGTAGTTCCACCACAGCTGGAGGGCCAGAGGTTTGAAACCCCTGTTCTAGAGGTTGTCTAATGGCTACTTTTGTTCCCCATGTTCCCTCTGTGAGTTGTAAAGTAGCCACCGCTCCAAGCTCGCTCATGCATTGGACTACAGTATCACCTTTAGTTTCCCAATTTGTATTGAGATTGTAGTCAATCATGGGTGTGAGCTTGGAGCGGTGGTTACATTACAACACACATAGGGACCATGGGGAACAAAAGCAGCCCCCCTCCAGGAGGAAGGACTGTGTCAGCATGAATCCAGACATGACACAATACAGAATCAAATAGAAAAGTGGTACAATAATGTAAGCTGTCTTTCACTCCTATTGGTTATGCTTAATATAATTACATCATACAATATATTGAGGCATTGTTTTTGCATGTGTTAAAATGTATCTACACATATATCTGTTTAGATGCCTGATCAATATTAAGTGTAAGTTGCTTCAAGTTAGAGAAATAATGAAATATGTGTTTAGCTGCTTAAAGCAGATATTATGACTGCATTGCTGATAATAAAAGCGGCTCTGAATACAGTACTAACTTCTGATGAGGTGTTAACTAGACTGGGAGAAGAACTAGTATCAAGAACACTTGCAAAGTTCTTCACAACAAAACTAATGGCATTATGACCATATATGAAGATCTGGCTATCAACCTATTAGGATTTCTAGGAGATATGAACTATCTCACTGTCATTCATTTTTTTGATAATAGTAAGTTGGAGGAAATTCTGTGCACAGCTCTAACCTTTCTTGTCTCCAACATATGTTAAAATAGACAAGTCAAATCAGATTTACTGTAAATCTGAAGTTTTCCTGATCTTGACAATGCTAAAAATTGAACATGTGGAAAATGGGGTTTTATGGTCGATGATGATATGACTTTTGTCATTTTTGAAAGCCGTGGACATTTAAAACATTTCCAAAGAAAACTAAGCAGCAACAGTGACTGTCCCTGGCTAATAATGAAGTACAAAAGACTTTGGGGGGAATTTATCAAAACTGGAGCAGACAAAATCTGGAGCCGTTGCCCATGCCAACCAATCAGCATCTCTCTTCAGTTTGCACAGGTAAGATTTGAAAATGAGATAGAGAAGCTGATTGGTTGCAGTGCAAATCTGCTCCAGTTTTGATAAATTCCCCCTTATATATCTATATTATTGCTTTTTTTCCCTCATTCTGGTCATTGGACTAGCTTGTGCCCCTGCATAAACCAGTGAGTGTATTTTTAGCTTACTATATATTATTGAGTTGGAAAAGGCACTGGTCTCAGAATTAAAACTCATAAACCTGCCAACCTATGTCACCGGGAATGGATTTCCAGCTGCCGCATAGTAACAGCACAACCTCAAGCACACTCAATCTGTTTTAACTGACAAGGTCTTCTCAGGCAGTGATGTGACTTACACAGGGATGCGGACCACTATTGAAATGGAGAGATGCCTGTTTTATTAAGAGGTTTAAATCAGATACTTCGACATGACACCATTATTTCTTTATTCAACTTCCCAGCTACCTGCGACACCTACCTGCTCATATGGCCATGAATCATCAGTGTGGTGATGTTGATTCATTGTCCATTGAGAAAGAAGAGCAAAGAAAGCTGAAATCTTCACATAATAAATAATAGTGTCACCTGCTTGCCTGTGCAATGTGCCATAGGTATGCGACTTACAAATACTTTCACAGATGCTTCACATATACATTTTGCTAGGGTATTTAGCTATTTGGCAAAATAAGGGGAAAGGGAGTCACGTTTATAGTAGCGAGTGGTAAAGACAGGTCTCCTGGGTTTCAATAATCTATCAATAACAAGCAAGGCTCCCCCTAAATGCGAAATCCCATAAGATGTTGTAGCTTGATTTGCTTATAGTGAGAAAACTTCAAAAAGGACTTCAAACAGCCAGCGCTGCCAAGGAGGTAAATCGTGGGCATACAAGGAGGACTGGATACACGTTATCCCTAACGCGTTTCCCCCCTATACACACAGGGGCTTCTTCAGAGGGGCTTCTTCCCTCTGAAGAAGCCCCTGTGTGTATAGGGGGGAAACGCGTTAGGGATAACGTGTATCCAGTCCTCCTTGTATGCCCACGATTTACCTCCTTGGCAGCGCTGGCTGTTTGAAGTCCTTTTTGAAGTTTTCTCACTATAAGCAAATCAAGCTACAACATAGAAGTGGTGGACTCGGAAACCTGCGTCCAATTGTCTATTGGAGGATATTTACTCGCTGTGAGAGCCTGCTGTGTGAACCCACGGATAGATCCCCAGCCGGCGATGTGTTTAATATACCGGCTGTGACAACACTGACAGATTTTCAACCTGCCACGCAAGTGATATCTGACTCATGGATTTCCTTTTATCTGCGCCTTCAAGTGCACCTGCATGTGTGGAATAAAATCTTTAAACCTCATCCAGCAACATAGATTGTGGATCACCCTGCAGGTGGATGTCAGTGTGGAGACCTTGCAGCACCTTTCCATCTTGATCACATCACCACAATTGATTGAAACAGATTTCAGAGTCTGGATCGTGTGGACACAGCGGACACAGCTTCAATACTACTTCCTGCAGGGACTGCCTAACCATCCAAATACACTGTACAGTGAGTAGCTCTCCATTTGATACATATGTACCTGCTTTTTCTATACAGCGCTTGTACTTAAAGTTAGTTTTTTGACCATTTATTTGGTCAAAATATATTTTCAACTGCACCTTTTTTCACTCGGGCCATACTAAGGAGGACTTGCCTTTTATTGATTTTAAATGTCTTTGTCAGTTGGTGGTTTTTTGATGCGATTTTGTTTAATGTTGTTTTCTATTTTTTCATTAAATTTTGATACATTGTACTGCCTGTTTTTCTATTATAGACAGCTCCATCTTATGGGATTTCGCATTTAGGGGAGCCTTGCTTGTTATTGATATTTAGCTATTTGCCTGATATTATGCTTTAAACTATTTATCCGTGCTCATCACAATAACACACTCATTTCTGTATACATGTTTTGGTACAGAAAGCATTTTTACTTATCAGTCCCCGTTTCGTTTTCCTCTAGAACAATACTGCAAACTGAAAGCCTCAATTAGCCTTAGCATAGACAGCTTTCCTTGTCAAATACCTCATTTTCCGCTAAGATTTGGTTACTTTCACATAAGGATTTCTAAATGTTTTAGAAGCTCTTACACAGGGCGTTTAGTTTAAGAATCCTTTAGGAATATATTAATATTTTTAAAACTGGAGCACAGATTACTGTAGATTTTGGGTCAAAAAGACTAAAAGAAAAACATTATATAGTTTAACATTGTACATAGCAGATTTCTAGTCTGACCAGTTATCTATTGTAACATCATGATGAAATATCTACAACATAAGCAGATACATACAACTTCCAGGCAATCTACAATCTTCGACAGCTTCTCTTCGGGTAAATCTTTCAGTAGTGAAACGCTGCACAAGAGATTGAAAGAAGGAGTTATATTCCTGGAAATAGCATTTCAAATTTACTTTGACAGCTCTGTAATACATTTGCCACTTCTTGTCTCTGTTAATATAGATTTTCTCCTACTCCTTACTAGTAATGGAAGTTGCCCACACTTCTTAATGACTTCCTGAGATTCAGTGCAGCTGACTATGAGCGACTGTTTTATATTTCAGCGACACATGACTTTTTAAATGGAGTAGGCAAAGACTCCCTCTGTCCCAGATACATACAGATTATCTATAGTCTCTCTCCACACAGCATGTCCTTTTTGGTTCAGTGCCTTGAAATAGTCTGAACAGAGATTGGAGACTTGTTCATCTTGCCTGCAGGGGTCATTTAAGTAAATGACTTGCAGCTTGCTGAAAATTCCATTCCAATATCAGTGGGGTTATTTATTAAAGAGCGCACGCAAAAAAGTCCCTAGTGCAAAGGGAAATAGGCTACACCATCCAATCAGGATCAATGCACCAAGACAAGATCTGTGAAACAAGAATTCTGATTGGATGCTATGGGTTAGCACACCAAGCACTTAGCATCTTACGCTCTTATTAAATATGCCTGCAAGTGCTGCTTAGGTCTGCATCTCTGTTGCAGTAATAGAACCACCCCACCACCCATATCTGTCATTACTCCATTTAACTTGTGGTATCATTAATATCTCATCTGACATTTTACCGATAATGGTATCTAGAAATGTGCAGACAGGAAAGGAACTAAACATAGGAACTCATTGCACAGGCAGCAATAAACAGAAATATTTAAAAGCCTATGCATCATCTAGACACTGCACCCCATGTTGCTTTGTGTTTTTATAGAAGACTACTTTTACTACCTATATTTCCCATTGCACTCTATTAATTGTTGCCTCTTTTCAGTTTTCTTGTTTAAATCATTTCAATATGCAGTTTAGCTTATTTTTACTTTTTTTTAAGAACTTACACTACTGATCTCTGTGCTTTTGGCATTATCAACCTTACCGTTCTATTTTTTCCTATAGTCAACATCTATCTTTTATACACTCTAAAGCGTGTATGTCAAACTAGAATTAAATAATAGGCTAAAGTAAATGAAATATTGTTTATGTCGGCACACTATGTCTACAGAGGGCCACACTACTCCAAAAAAGCAGTTTATAGAACTTTAGCACTTAAAGCTGAACTCCAGAAAGCACTAAATTGTTAAAAGTTCATGTTTTTACAACAATGGTTCCAGGTCACCTTCTGAGCCTTCTTACTATGCAAAACTGTATCCCCTGCAGGTCTGTACTTTCCTTCCCAATGGCTGCGGCCTCCTACTGGTGATGGCACATTTATTACTCCCACTGATCAGTAATGTTGGGGAATTTATTAATCCTACTCTTCACCAACACTGGGGCATTTAAATTTTCAATGACCACTGGTGCAGGGGCATTTATTACTCTTGCTGTCCACCAATTTTGGTGGAATTTATTACTCCTAATGGCCACTGATGCCAGGGCATTTATTAATCCTACTGTCCACTGATGCAGGGGCATTTATTACTCCTACTGTCCTCTGATACAGAGGCATTTATTACTCTTACTGTCCACTGGTGCCGGGGCATTTATTACTCCTACTGACCGCTGATGCCTGGGGAATTTATTACTCCTACTGACCGCTGATGCCGGGGAATTTATTACTCCTACTGACCGCTAATGCGGGGGAATTTATTACTCCTACTGACCACTGATGCCAGGAAATGTATTACTCCACTGACCTCTGATGCCGGGGAATTTATTACTCCTACTGACTACTGATGCCGGGGAATTTATTACTCCTACTGACTACTGATGCTGGGGAATTTATTACTCATACTGACCATTGGCTCAGGGACATTTATGATTCCTTCTGACATCGGGGCATTTATTATTCCCTTTAACCAATGACACTAGGGCATTTTTAGTCCTCCTGATGCCAGAGCATTTATTACTACCAATGATTTGGGTTTATGTATTACTTCTGCTGACACTGGGATATTTATTACTTCCATTGGTGCTAGGGTATTTATTGCTCCCACTGACTCCTAGTGCTGGGGCATGTATTACTTACACAGACCATTGATGCTGGGGTATTTATTACTCACACTGTCCACTGACACTGGGATATTTATTACTCTCACTGACCATGGGGTATTTATTACTCTCTCACAGACAGTGCCGGCCCTAGTGTGAGGCAGCACAAGCGGCCCTCTGAGGGCGCTGTTGGAGGGGCAGACAAATGGTACCACAGTCCCCGCAGATAACTGTGCCCATCCCGTTCTCCCCCCCTGCAGACTCAGACTGTCAGTGTTTTCTGCTTACAGGATGTAATGGGCTGTAGCCATCTGTGTCTGAAGGGACAGATAGCCGATTGTAGCCTGTAAGGACAGTCTGGGAGTTTTCTTCGCCCATGCCGCCTACTCAACCCCCCCCCCCAGACTGCGCTCCTGCTGTCAGCCACAATCGTCTCCAATCAAGCTGCTGGCAGCAATAAACCAGCCTGCTATTGGCTCTTTTAAATTGTGGTAGCCAAAAGCACACTGGCTGTTGCACCCGCCCAATGCCTGCTGTCAGAACCAATGAAAAAAGAAAAAAAAAGATGGCGGGTGGTATGGATGATGTGGCTATGTTGGTAGAGCCACGCACAGCCGCATAACTTAAAAAAAAAAAGCAGCCTGTTGGGAGAAGAACCCTGTGATTCAGGTAAGGGGGGGGGGGTTGCAATTTTACTATGTTACACCCTAGCAATGTGGTCCAGGCTAGTGCTAGTGTAAGGATGTATAGGCAGCCAGCTAAGGGCGCCGGTGGGGGGTGCAAAAATCCACCTTCGCCCGTGTAGGCAAAAATCCTTGCACCGGCCCTGGACACAGAGCACTGATGCTGGGATCTTTTTTACTCCCACTGATCCAGGGAAATATATTACACCCACTAACGACTGTAGCTGGGGCTTTTATTACTCTTACTGGCCACTGTCACTGGGGTATTTATTAGTCTTACTGACCTTTGGGGCTGGGGTATCATTTACTCTCATGGACACTGGGAAACTTATTACTCTTACTGAACACTTTCACTGACCTTCAGGACTATGGTAATTTTTACTCCCACTCATCCCAGATGCCGGGGCTTTGTTTTTACTCTTACTGGCCACAGTTCGGGCCTTTATTTAAATTAAAAAAAAAACAATCAATTTATCCCATATCATCCAGTAAGGGGGACATAATTAATGATTTCTTTACAACTAACAATATAGTAACTATTGCAACTTACAAAATTCTATCCCAGAGAAAAGGGCCTTGTTCAATTTATTATTATTATTATTATTATTATTATTATTACTACAGTAAACTCCCTGTTATCCGGCATCCACAGGGATTGATAGATTCTAGCTAAATGTAGTTTCTGGTTGCTTGAGAGTTACTATTAAAAATAAGTCTAACTAATGCCATACCCCATACTATATCATAACAATCTCTGTATTGACTTCATATTAATATTGAAATGCAGTAATCAAAAGCAAATTAAGAGAAATAGACACACTTAGGACAAATAGACACGATCATTTCCAGTAGAATACATGCCGCAGATCAGCAAAACAGTGAGTACACAGGGGATTTTTTTTTCTGGTTAGACAAGAATTCTGGTTAGTTGAATACCGGATAACTGAGAGTTTACTGCATTATAAATATTAGAAACTCCACGGCGTCGAAAATAAGGAGTGAGAGGGCCACATGTAGCCCAAAAAACACCAGTATGAGTTAGAGTTACCTCTAGATAAAGAAGCATTAGGGGAACCTTCTCTTTGCCTGTTTTTGCAATGATGTAGCCTTAATTCTTTTATAGCTAAAGTGCTGCTTACAAACAGTAGAAATACAGAGAACTTTTCCTCACTTGTCATAGTGGAGATGCTGCAAATGAGCTATGCAGGAGTAAGTAAGCAAGCAAACGGAAGGCATGTTTGTACTGGTAGCTCTAGCAAAAGTAAGTGGGTTTCTAATGTTCATTAGCACATGGACAACTCCTTCAGCTCAAAGAAGCAACTGATATCAGTGGGTTTCCAAAGCACGTCTCTGTGTCTGCTCATCAGCCCAAGAAAACCAACACATTCTTAGAACTCCTGGCCACCAAAGCCAGTGCATAAGATTTATAAAATCCCAGTTACTGAAATGTTTCTGTCACCTCCATACAGGCACATCAGCTATTAGGTTGGTTGGATAGTCACAAGAATTGAAAATAACAATGAACTAGTATGTCATGCTTCACCAAATTCTAAGTCTTCGTAGGAAAAGTAGCTAATTACCTGCGAAGAAAGCTAAAGTATTCCTGATGTTGAGCTTGTGCTGAACTCATCATAATATTCTGGAAAACCTGTCTATCCAAAACCCAAATCTTGGAATCCGTTACCGCTTAATGGGAGACAAAAAAAACACATTTTTTTTTAGGCCATATATAATACAAAATGAATAATAGGAGTAACATGCAGCTACAGTGAACTATAAGATTTTATAAGTTATTCAGATTTAGGAGCAAAAAACAACTGGTTTTAGCATTCCTTCCCTGATGCACACCTGAAAGTCTGAGCATGAGGCATCTGTGAGAAAGGGATAGAGTGAATAACTCGGCATTGAGAGCAGGGCTGGATTTACTCTCTCTGCTGCCCCCAAGGCCAGGTTACTCAATCCGCCCCCCTATCCGCCAACCCCCAATGGAGAATGGCAGACCTGCAGGCTGCATACAAGTGATCTCGGCGACATCGCCGGGATCACTTCTACAAAACAAGCGGCGGCTTCCCAACTGTACATTTAGCTCTGCTTGCCCAAAGCAGGGCTAAATGTAGAAAAGAACTACCCGCCCGGTGCCCGGAACTGCATATCCCGGGCATCGGGAGATGGGAATTCCACACCCCTGCTGCACCTCTACTCCCTGCTGCCCCAAGGACCGGCCTTGGTTGGCCCTGAGGGAAATCCAGTCCTGATTGAGAGGCTGCCTACCATTCTGGAGTCTTGGGGAGAAAGAGGTCAATTTACAAAAAAGTAAACCCATCATCAACCACTTTCAATTGATTCTTTTTATTCATTTTAAGTGATTCTCTATGAATCAGTGACTAATTAATTTAAAGTATAGAAAACTCACAGGCACAGATGAGAAGCTTTTTAAAACTGCACTGCGTTATTTAGAACTTGGATTGGGGTAATTTGTCAGCACTGGTACAATAGTTTCAGGATGGACCAGCAGTTCATTGATTGGCTTTCCTTGTTTACTGGAATGTATAAAGTGTGTCTATAGGTTTTTAGCTCTGACTAATGTAGTGAATGACTAAAACCCCTCTCAGGTATTCATTATCGTGTGCATCTATGCTGGCGACATTCATCACCTCTTATTGTCCTGATAACCACTGTCACTAGGGCAGATAGAGATGGAAAATCCAAAACGTTACAGCTGGTGACAACTGAGAGGATTTACTTTGGAGAGATTACCTCTTGCTGCTGTGATTGTGTCACGGGAAGTGAAGATAAATGCCACCAACAGGTCAAAGTAACAAAAAAAACCACATAAAAACAAAACAGACAAGGGGTTTACCATCCCCAAACCTATACAACGTATATAAAAACACTGTACCATTGATCTGATTTAGAATGCTCTTTAAAACTGAACAGCAAGCAGATAAAATTCACAAACCACCGCAGCTCTGTATTGATGAATACATCATTATATTATTATTATTATTATTATCATTATAAGTCGTGTCAAAATTACCTTCATTCATCTGACACTAGTGACACTAAACTCAGGAGGTAAAACATACCTTAACTATTAACAATATTGTACTTTAGTTGTGTAGCACTTGGCTGTAGATCCCCAAATGATCTACTTTTGTTCCCCATGGTCCCTGTGTGTGCTTTAAAGTAGCCGCCTCTCCAAGTTCGATCCCGTGATGGACTACAGTCTCAATACAAATTACTAAACTAAACGTGAGATTGTAGTCCATCACAGGTGGGAGCTTGGAACGGTGCTACTTTACAGCACATACAGGGATCATGGGTAACAGAAGTAACGACCCTCCAGAAGGAAGGACAGTCTACAGTCGAGTGATACACAAATAAGCAAAATTTTTGTTAATAATTAAAGGACAACCATGAGGTGAGTGCTTTTCAATGAGACTGTCACAGGTCGGCTCAGTAGATCGGGAAGTGAGCGAACACATACCGGCGTTCATTCACTTCTCAATCCTGTCACGGCGCTCTGCCGTGACAGGGGAGGGGCTGGATTCCCCCCTCCCCGCTCCGATCCTCCAGCGCTGACTAGCGGAACGGACGAGGGAGGGGGTGGGTACAGCTGGCTCTGCCTCTATATAGGCAGAGCCAGCTGTCACTCACGCAGGCATAATTGTCGGGATCCGCTTCAGCGTCTCAGTATACCGCGAGCTGTAGCTCGCGGTATACTGAGCTTAGGGTGACGGGAGGACGCTAGTTTGTGTCCTCCCGTTGCCCTAAGGAGAACTATGGGGAAAAGCCTGAACCCCATAGTTGTCCTTTAAGGTAATTGAATGTATGTTTAAGATTTAACTCCTGAGTTTAGTGTTACTTTAGTTTTTTTTTGTTATTGTGATATTTTTCTTTTTACTGAAGTGCACATTTAAAGTGGAACTACAACCTCCTATTCTTTACAGCCAAGGGAGGTGCCATCTTAGCCTCTGTTTGGATTGCAGTTGCTATGGTGCTGCACATGTGATCAGCTATGACACCAGTCATCTGATTGCTCTAAAGTTTGGTTGGGAGCTGAAATAAGTACACTGGCAACCTTGACAGCTCGATTGCCTTGAAAGTAACTGTTCTGAGAGACATTAAATTGTTGAGTCTAGTTCTGCTTTCAGTGCTTCAGTTATGGGCTTGTCCATTACTGACCAGTCTTCTCGCATATTTATGAGTCTTGTTTCTGGCTTATAATAGTGATCTTATATACAAGATGTTGAAAACTAATACTGGTTACCTAGCCCAGTTTTAATAACACTGCAAGGTACCATATATTTGAGCATCTATTTTGTTTTATTAGCTTTTGATTCAGGAAACAAATGCTTATCTGCAGTTTACATGATGAACTAAGTTATGGGAATTGCAACTTAATGAAAAAAGGAAAGCATACATATATTATGGATATACTGTTTAAGTATTATTATACTGTAGCTTTTATAATGACTCATACCTTTCACTGTTGCTGTTCTTTTGCAGTTATACAGAATTGCTAATTCTCCAAAAGCAGTTCCAGGATGCATTTGCCCGAGCAGCCGAGCATTTTGAATAACGTCAAGCAAGCCCTCTGCAAGTAAGAATAATCACATTATTCACAGTCTACTCTTCAACCACACTGATTTTTTCCACTACAAGCTCACAAAGACTAACTGTAGACGTCAGACATTGTCTTCAGCTGCATCAGTTGATTTTACAATTCTTAATCTTGATTTTATATTGCTGGCATGGAATTTCTCTATTCTTTAAAAGGGACAATAAGGTAAATTGCCGGTAAGGTCTAACAATCATCACTGTAGGTTCACCTTCCTGAGATAAAAATGGAAATTCCAAGTGGCATCAATAATTAGTTCCCTCTCCTAAAAATCAGCTTAAATCTGGTCCAAACAGGAAAAAATAAAACCGGGTAAGTTTGCAATAAAACAAACTTACCTGCCTGTTCATAATCTTCCTTAGAATGTACACTGAGCTACGTATGCACAGGTCAGTGACCATTCTTGGCACACCTTGATGCCAGCATGCATAACACTCATCTGCTCAAATGGCATCATACCCTTGCTGGCCAAATCAGTTAGCTGCCGAGCCTTAATTTCTCCCTCCCATCAAATTAGATTCTGAAGTTTTGGCCAACGAGGGTGTAAAGCCATAACAGCAGGTGGGTCCCCCCTTTAGGCAAAAGCCTGCCTTTAAACTTCATGAAATGAAAGGTAATTTATTGACACAAATGCTAGGAATACTTTAGAAGACTTCAATTACTAATGTAAATATTATTCAGTGACAAAAACAGAAGGGCCGATTTGTCAATGTTTTCACCCATAATTCACACATTTGCAATTCAATTTAAAAATGTGTGCAGCTTGGGTAAAAGTTGTGTGAATCGGGTGAAAACATTAAACAAACAGAACCCACAAATCTAACATACCCATCTTCATGCGGTAATAAATGGCCTTACTATCTTTTTCTGAGTGGACCTCACATGTGTATACACTCCTAAGGTATTACTGGGGAGAAAATAAACCAGTCTGTTTGCAAAGATACATATATAGAAATATTAAACCATTTCAGTTTAATGTGCAACTCCTCCTATATTGCAATAAGGCAGTGAAGTCAAAGAGTTTGCTGGCCGAATTTATAGCCTATGTGTCTTTAGTTAAATCTGTCCAGTCTTTTAAAGAATGCATTAGGGGGGAATTATCAAAATTGGGGCAGACAGGATCTGGAGCGGTTGCCTATGGCAACGAATCAGCTTCTATCTTCACTTTGTTCAGTTAAGCTTTGAAAATGAAAGATAGAGGCTGATTGGTTGCCATGCATAGCTGCTTCAGATTTTGTCTGCTTAGTTTTGATAAATTCCCCTCACTGTATTTTGCTGGAAATGTTGACCTCTCTCTTGATTCTATAGCTTATTACATTTCACGAACACAGCATCACTTTGTTTCTACAATTCCTATTGCTGCAGCATGCAAAATATGAATATTCTCAACTGTACAATAAAACTAAGATTGTTACTACTATATTTACACACTAATAGGCCACATATAACATTTACTTTAAATCACCTGTGGTTTACTTCAAATTATCCGCATTCTATTACTATATTTCTATCAAATGTACTTCTTATACTTCTATCAACTGTACACCTGTAAAATATAATCAGTTCAGACAAGCAGCTTTGAATCCTACCTAGAATTCTCCTTATGCTTTTAAGAGATAATTTATTTTGAAAAAATGTGTATAGGAATATTAGAAATAATGCCCACAGCAACTGGTTGTTTTCATTTGTGACCTGCCTTAGAAAACAAAAGATAATTGGGTTGGTTGTTGTGGCAACCCTTCCAAACATCCTTCCTTTCAGTTATTCGAAATCATCACTGTTCATCTCCATGAGCGCAAGTTTCAGTATGGAAGGTAATTGTTGAGCTTTTGTGGTTCCAAACTGTCCACATACTTTTTCTTTTACAAACCAGTCCTTGATACAACCACTAAAATGTTTATCGTAATCTCAAAATTGAACCTTTTTTAGAAAATTCACCAAAAAATAAAAGGTATCTTACCTGCCAAAACATAAAGATGGTTACCCGCTGCCCCTTCTTGAATGACAAGCTGTGATTGAGTGTACACCCTCTCATACATGCAGTCCACCATTCGACGTACATGTGAAGCTTCCAGCTGCCGTAGGAAGTCATTACTCATAATTGCTCCGGTGATTAGCTTCTTAGCACTACAAAAAAAATTAATAATACGGTGTTCATTTCTACTTTAGCCACAGAAGTTAACTGTATAATTATCATATTACCAGATGATCACAATTAAAAGTAGTGGCGTGGTCTTTAGGTGTGAGTAATCTAATTAATGGAGGGCCTGCAATAAATTCTTGCTTGGCAAATGTAAATATTTGTGCTGTTCTCTCACGCAGCAAAGAATAAATGTCATTGTGAATATAATTTTCACAACAGTGTGCCTCAGGACGAGAAAGCAGTAGTTGGAAGTGTCGCCACATGGGAGGCTGTACCCAGTAATCATTCCCGAGCCAGAGACATTAATGTTCTGTTCCATATTTTTAGGCAGTATGAGAAAGTTGTTTTGTTAGCCTCTGGAATCATTCCAAATGGTGCCCTCATGGGAGTTTGACTGTATGGCATTTCAGAAGATGATCATTAACGTCATATCAGAAATGCTCGGCGGTGCTGTAACCTTTTAGCAAGAGAGCTAATTGTTTTTCAATTGGCAGAGCAATGGTTTGACAATGTATGATGACACTGTGGGAAGAAAGGGCGTTTTGCTATCTCTCATGCACAATAATGATTCATCTGTGCTAATTTTGTTTTTAATATGGTGAACCATGGCAGAGTATTAAAAGATATATCTCTGAAAGCTCTCTGTGAACTGGGTTATGCCCTGTACATACCAAACACAGCTCCTCAGTGTAGAATCTAGAATCCTTCAGGACAGCCCTCGCACAACCGAGATATCAACGCCAATAAGAAGCTACCAGCCAACACATTTTTTGTATATTTATTTTTTGTATAGCATTAGGAAGGCAGAGAACTTCTGTCAGGTTTGTATTAATATTTGGTTCCCTGACAGGGCAGATTTGCCCTGTTGACCCTTGTTATTTTGACAGAAAATGAGAGGAAATCTCAATAACATGGACACCGCATAAAAACTTGACAGCAATTTTACCCTTTCTCCGCTCTATCCAAAAGGGAAACAAATTGGCTGGAGTTCCATGTTAAAGAGCAAAAACCTGTGTGATGTTTCTGTGACTTGACTTTTATATACACAAACATCAAAGATCCACAACATGGAGAGAAATAATAACAAGGCTTAGTGGTAAATAAAACCCAACTAATCCAAAAATGTTTGCAAATAACAAACAGTGGTTGAATTGCATTCATTTAATTGGGCCATGACTCCAATATATTTTACCTTATAAATATATACAAAAAGAAAATGGCCTAACAAGCAAGCCAAACACAAAAAGACATGCATCACACAAGACTCACAGGGCTATTCACAATAAGGGTGAAGAGTTTGGAGAAAGCAGGAGAAGTGAACAATCTAGGGCAACAAAAACGGCAACTGGAAAGTGAGCTGAATTGGATAATTTTTCCAAATCAGCTATTTTAGCCTAGATTGTTCACTTCTCCTGCCTTCTCCAAACTCTCCACACTTTAGTGAATAGACCTGTAAAACTCTATGGTCCCATTCACACTTTTGAAACGTATCTCTTTCATTGAAGTTCACGGTAAGACATTTGTTTCGGTGGAGCCTACTTACAATCTTTTGTAAGGCTTCATTTTTTCCATGTCAGTGAAGGACCTCCAAAATGAATTGTAACACTCAAAATCACCATACATGCATTTTTGGCTCTATTTACTGCCGCTGTAAATTGGAAACTTTTTTGGGGGCTCCTCCAATACTGTGCATAAGGAAATGCATTAGTACAAGGGTAAAAGCAGCCTCGTTGTACTACTATAGCACATACATGTAATATATTATGTATAGTATGTATGACGGCTTTGCAGGCCATTTTCAAGGGATACATTTTAAATCCAAAAGTACAGGCCTTTAAAATTTCCTTTTTACTGTTGAAATGTATATACATTAGGTGACATAGTGGGCCATACCTGTAAGTTAAACAAAGTTAAAGAAACATTGCCAGAATGATAGTTGTGTATATTACAGTAGCTGTGGCGATTTCTTTTTCAATTTGTATTGGTTACATAGGACCCAAATGTGAACAGATACACTGATATTTGCAGTTCATGTTCTTACCTTGAATCTTTACGGACACAGGTAACATCTGGCTTCTGGCAAGACGGATTGTAATAATGCCGTGAAGTTGGCTCTGCTGAGACTCCTTCCTTGGCTTTTTGACGTCTATGGGCATCTGGGGCTTTCTCATTATGCTGAGCAGGCCCTTGGTTTATAACACTTAGCAGCTTTTTATTTTGACTACCTTTTGGGGACAGCTGGATGTTGTAACCGATAGCATCCTGTAGTTTGTCTATTTGAACAGATTTTGTTTCCAGTTCCTTTTCGAGCTGCACGATTTTGTCATCTTTTTCTTGCAGTTCTTTCCATCTCTGTCTCAGTTCTTCTTCTAAAAGCAGCACAGTCTCCTGCAGTTTAGTAAAGGCCCCAGAGGAATGTTCTCTCCTCCTAGAGGAGAGACAGCTATCCTCCCTCCGTGGGGCTCGGATAGTTCCATTTCCCATGCTGTTCTGGTTGTACATCCCGGAGGAAAAGTACTTTGCTCAACTGCCACTTAGATGTCTGTTCTCCTCATGATCTTTTTTCTTTTTAAGATTCCCAGATGTTGAATGTGACAGAGAATGTTTATGCAGATAACACTTCAATGTTCAGAAATCTATTCATGGTCTAAGAGAAATAAACAATTTACAAAGGAGAAATATAGTTCAAACATACAGGTAAAGCAATTTATTACTATGAATTCAAATTTTTTTTTTTTTTCGAATAATGCATTGGAATACATAGAATTCTCTGCATAACAATATAGACTCATATAGACTCATAGATGTGTAAAAATATAGACTCATAGACTCATATAGGCATAGATTTATGTAGGCACACAGCGTGTCAAGTTACATTCTGCTTCACCACAGACATTAAATGATAATTGTCTGATGCACGTGACTTCACTAACAGTGAACATTAATTGATCAGTCTATTGGGGCCTCAGACAACAGTTGATACTCTTCCCAGAATCAAACTATTAAGCCAGGTTGGAATTTTTTGCCTAAAAGCCTATTTTCCCCTCAAGATGAGTGCATACATCTCTCATAATTGTTTCTTCAAAGGCCTATGGCTGGGTACACACAAGTGCTCTTGGATTTTAAATCTTCTGTGCTGCTGCAGTATCAATGCTTTTCTGAGTCACAAGGCTCCATTCAGTCAGTCTATTGACAGGAAGGGGAGGGCTGCAAAATAAGAGTATTTCATATGCTACAGGCATACAGTTCCATTCAGTGCACAACAAAGCAAAGGCTTCACTAAGTGCTTGTGGTTATTGAACCACTCAGCTCAATACACATTTTATCACCTTGGATTGGGCAGCGCTCAGAAGCCATACAGATTGTGTCTTGAGTTTTGACACCTGTGTAGACTAATCCTAAAGATGGCTTTAGACATTACAAGGCTCTTTGGGAAAAAGTCTAAGTGTTGAATGTAATTTAATATAAATAAAAGTGCACATTTTTGTGTCAGGCAGATCATTGGCAGCCAAGTATGCTATTGGCTTCACATACTCCCCAAGGCCTAACTGCAAGAAAACATCATGTCATCACCCTGGCTCTTACATACACAAGTTTACAAATACCACTGCTCATAGGAGGCTACCTCAACGAAAAACAGTAGTAATTTTTAAAAGACAAACCATTTGTACTGCATCACAGCATATATGACAGTCTTGACCCCAATACCACCAAAGATGGTCTTGACTTTGTAAGTCTCAGATAATGGCCATCTACATTCACTTAAAAGTGAGCCCTTGTGGATTGAAACAAAGGAGCTGCCATTGCTAACTTGGCCTTGGTGCATGCTACAAAGTCACTGTCAAGTCACTGTCTACAAAGTCAATGACCGGGAAGAAACAAACAGTGTTACACTTGAAAATCCCCTATGCACAGAAATCCCTAATTGGAGCTGATCTAATAAACAGGTTTACACATATGGAGTATGAATAAGTATCAAAATTTAATAGTAACAGAATAAACACATTGAAAAACCTTCAACAAAACATTTAAAAACACTTAAAAATGACTTCCCTTAGGATAACCCGATAAGTGTAATAGTCTGAGCAGCAGATAGTCACTGGTGCATGCACAACGGCCACAATCAAATGTGGATACTTAGTATCTGGGCTTACTCACGTCACTTAAGATTCAAAGTGGTGGACAATCCTCATAGAATCCTGTGCTGATATGTAATTTGCCGAACGTTGCCCTTGTTCGGCTTTGGGCTTCATTACATGATGTTCCCGTCACGGTTTGGAAACTAAACTCTGCGGGCAATTGCGAGCACAGATCAGTGGGTGGAGAGGCAACCCCGAGATCCGGCTTTTCACCTAACTAAATTGGATTTTCTGGATATGCCACTGAGCAGTTTTGTTCCACGGCAAATTACATATCAGCACAGCATTCTATGAGGATTGTCCACCACTTTGAATCTTAAGTGACGTGAGTAAGCCCAGATACTAAGTATCCACATTTGATTGTGGCCGTTGTGCATGCACCAGTGACTATCTGCCGCTCAGACTATTACACTTATCGGGTTATCCTGAGGGAAGTCATTTTTAAGTGTTTTTAAATGTTTTGTTGAAGGTGTTTCAATGTGTTTATTCTGTTACTATTAAATTTTGATACTTATTCATACTCCATATGTGTAAACCTGTTTATTAGATCAGCTCCAATTAGGGATTTCTGTGCATAGGGGATTTTCTAGTGTAACATAGTTTTATTGAAACCCTGGAGTTTGGTGTTTACTTTTACTGTATTTTGCGTAGCTCCCTTTGTTCCCCGTATTTTTTGAGAAGAAACAAACAGCCAGTGGAAAGTCGAAACTCTCACTCTGCATATTCCCAGGGCCGTCTTTAATATTAATTGGGCTCTGGGCAAGATTTTACGGATGGGCCCACACAACCTTCCCAGCTCCATCACTTCCTGACCCAGACCCCCATATCCACCTACATCACCTTCCCCTGAAAAGAAGCAGGCATTGGGGGAGGAGATCACCGAAGCAGGAGGCACACAGACATTAACTAGAGGAGAAAGGACGGCCGGACGACGGTCTCCCTGTCAGCGGTGCCGCTGGGCTTCTCCTGTCTCACGCTTGGGCTAAAGGGACAGCTGCTTTGGGCCCCTGTAAATTATGGGGCCCTGGGCAAATGCCCCTTTTGCCCTGCGTTAAAGACGGCCCTGCATATTCCCTCAACTCACTAGGTAGTGAAGCTGGGATTGGACAGACAACTCCTGGAAGGGAGGCTATATCTCTGGTTTTGAACTGGACTGTGCTGATTTTATTATTGTTGTTTGGTTCCCAAAACAGACAATTTGCACAGAAAGCCAGATCGCCCCCATCCCCTTCATACACTTTACATAAGCTACATTTTTTTTTTGGTATGATGCAACAGCCCTTTAGTTTTTCATGGACCAAAAGTCAGCAACAGCAGCTCCCATGTATGTCTATCCTTTTAAATTCCCTTTAAGCCAAATAATCTATAGTATTGTCTTTCTCTGTTAACTTGCAGAGATGCTTCTGTATTATAAATGCTTTATGAACTCGAGTGTTCTTCTGCTATAGCAGGCATGTAGAGCTGGACACACCTTACAGCACTGCCAAACTGACCTCCTCTGATGAAGCTTGCTATATACAGCAGTGGAAATGTTATTTCTCATATCACTGTTTCTGCTTGTCAAAGATTCCACTGCCTGCCTTTGTCTTTCAAACGATATTGATCTTCCTCCAACAATATTATTATTTTTTATTTTCTTGGCTGCAATAAGCCACAATGTGTTGACAAGACATCAGCCTTACCCTTTACGTTCATAAAATATTTCTTGGTTTCTGAATTTAAAGAGGACCTTCACACATCATTGCCACCCGCCACAAACCTCAAATGCTAACTATTTTTTTATTTGCCTTTTTTCGGCCCTTTGCACTCCACCTCACTCCTTCCTCCATTCTTTCCTAGGTAAAAATGATGTTTACACTGCTACTGATGCCCCCTGGGATATCCACGTCAGATTTTCCAGAATCCTTTTCTATACCATTGACCGAGGAAGAAGGACCTGGTGGGCATCTTTAGGGGACAACTGCAAGAACCTGGAAGAGACAGCTGGCTCTGGACTATGCAGAGGAGAAGATGCTGGCACAGGAAACATCATGTGGCGGTGGAGCAGCCAACAGCAGGACAAAGAAGGATTCACTGGCAGAGTAAGTATGTTAACCGAGGACAGTCCAGCATAAAACGGAAGTGAGGGTTGAGAAGTAAAATGAACATGGGGCGGGGGGGAGAATTCCTCTTTACAAAGCCCTAGTCACAGCAAAAACATATGGGTTTAACTGTACATTTGAAAGAGAGCATAACTCAAGGTATATGTTTAATCCAACAGAAACCTCTTGTGCAGGGAAAAATATACACACATTGACAGTACAGATGGGAAACCCTAGAAATCCACTTAAAATCTGATTTGTAAAACTGTCACATAAAATGGTAGATCAGTGCAAGTCTTACTAGAAATTGAATCCCCAGCTACAATCAGCATAATGCAAAACCAATTGTCGCAGTTTAAGTCCAAACCTTGCTAAAATGTTTCTTTAAAAAAAAAAAAAAATAGAGCAGGTAAGGGTTAGAGCCTCTATACGGGTTTATTGATGTGTCCCTATTGCACAGGGAAATTCCCTCACTTCCTGTCAGGACAGGAAATTAAGGTAAATCACTAACAACTACACAGACAAATCTCCCCAACCAAGTCTTACACAGAAATACATACCATGCAAACATGTTAACTGCTCCTCTCACTCTATCCAAAATGTAAACACATATGGAATAAGGCTTTGATGCAGTATTTTCTCAACCTTTGAAAGAGTTGCTAGTGGTTCTTTCAGCAGCAAGCAGTGTTGGATTAATTTCCCTCCTGCTTGTACCGGTATAGTTCTGACACCTACGTTGTTTAGCAGAGCCGTGCATTCTTCCCACTGATCAGAGGCATTCTTCCTACTGATCAACAATGTAAGCTTGAAATTGGCTGCCAAATCAGCTGCTGATGAGCTCTATGCATTCTCACACACTGGACACAACAGAATACAATTTCAAGACAGCACAGTCCTGATACAGGTTTTCCCTTAGTAAGCCCCAATAAAGGGAGTATTTGTCTGAGCCTTCGTAAAACATTAGAAATTTCTATACTGTGCTCTAAACCCTAAATTGAATAAAGATATGTCTGGCCTTTTGTACAGAGTGTGGCTCTTCAATTCACAATCCTGTAACTTTGGAAGTTGCCTCACCTGGGATCTGCTTTGCCTTCTTCTAAATTAGCAGTATTAGAATCAGTTAGACACTGATGTAAACAAAAATCTTTAAAAGAAAAATGGTTTTCCAACCTTGGTATATTACTAGACTACAAGTCAGTCACTAGTCTCATACCACAATAATCTCTGAGGAGAGTTTGTAAAGGTTTCAAAATTAGCATAATCACAATTTACAGTTGTGACA